AAGACATTCATTATACCAAAATTGTAGAGCTTAAAGTGATCTAAAACTTTGTTGTTGTCCTTGGCCTCACTGAACTACCAATGACAAAATGAAAAGCAAACGTAGAAGCAAGTAGTGGATCATTCAAAAATTCATCCTCCTCCTTCTTTATTCATTGAGCAGCACTATTTATAGGGTCAATTTACATTGGGAGGACCATAATGCCCCCTACCAACCCTAGATGTCAAGAATATTCCCCTATTGTGGGCATTACCATCCACTTTGCTACGAGGTCCAAGCCAGATTTGATAACTCCTAAAATGAGGCTCCCTTCCACTTGTCCCTTTGCCAAGGCGTCTTCTCTGTGACCTTCGCCCCAGATCACCTTGAACACAAGCTCTCTACTTCAATCCTTTTGCCATCGCCTGTTTTCGTATGTTCTTGGCAAAGGGTCTTCTTGGCATATCCACCACGTGTCGTCTCCAGTTCTGTGAGAAATGAGAGGTTCCAAAGTATTCGGCCTAGCCCGGTGAGGCATGTGAAAGGGGTCCCGAGCTAGGTGTATCAACACCCAATAGTAGCCCCTCATTGGAGAGTCTTGCATTCATCAAGTGAGATGATGAATTCTCCTTGCTTTTGATCTGAAGCACCCTTTTGCGCCATCTTTGAGGTTTCATGAAAATGCAACATGCATTTTTAGAATCATGGATCCGGCTTTAGATTAAAAGACCTGAACCCTGCAACCTTAGCACCACATCTTCTCTTGTTATGAACAATGTCACAATCTAGTTGACCTCGCCAAGAAGGCTAATCCCTACAAGACAATCGAAGAACACAAGCAAGAAATCGAAAGAACACAACTCAATTGAAATGATAATTGCATATGAATGATTAAGCACTTGAATGTAGGGTGTCACAAACCGATGAATGATGACTGTTTGAAGACAAATTGATATAAAGCAAAACAAAAACTCTAACTTAGGCGACAACTATTGAATATATAGTCTAAGGGGAGGCCAAGGATCCCCTATTCGCATCCCTAAGGAGTCCTGACACATTGCAAGGTCCAATGGCCTAAATGATGGTGATGTAGCATTCTAACAGATTCTGGATGTCCACTTATTTCAACTATTCCCTTTGATTATGAAAGAATTTTGATATGAAACCAACACCATTGGTTAGGTTATCTTTTTATCTTTCTATGCATAGGTAGAACAAAAAAATGGAGTTTGTATGGGTCCTGGGCATCCGTTTTAGTACAGACTGCTCCTAGAGTCCAAGATGGACTCGAACATAATATGCATATTGGGCCTCATCAGAGACCTCCAGCCCATGTTGAGGTAGAGGCGGACAACCAACTATGTATCCATGGCCCGTCTATCCATCTCCTCCCATATGCCCAGGAGCTCCTCTTCTGCTTCTGCTCACAAGCTTGTCATAGGGAATCAAGATCGAGCCCTATCTTTTAGGGTAACAACATGAAAAATGTTGTCTAGGTTTTCCAGCAGCCAAAGTCCTCTACAATCAAAGCCACTTCCACCATTACCATCGCTACATCTCTTCCTTAAAGAGGGCTAGGGAAGAGCATCATTTTCTAGGTCCTCATGAGTCGCAGGTCACTATATCCATACATGATATATTTCCATATCCATTGCTCCACCATTTCATAATTGTATGAGTGTTCTCTCCTTGGCTCTAATTATGCTACTAAGTATATGAGGGTTCTGATAGGACCACATATTTCCTTTGCAGTTAATAAGGTTTAATTTGTCAACTCCAAGAATACTACATTGGGTAGTAATCAAGAGAATCATTAGATATTTAAAATGTGCTATATAGATGAGACTAAAACTTAGTAAGTCCTCCTCAATCCTCATTACTTGCTAGTGCATTTTCTGATGCTGATTAGAATGGATGTTTCGGTGATCGACGATGTACATGAGGGTATAATGTTGTCTTAAAGCACTAGGAGACATGCAAAAGTGTCGTTGTCTAGCACAAAAATCTAAAAGCACTAGAAAATGCAACTACATAAACTACATGAAATGAAATATTCCTACAGGAGTTTAGGGTTTAGGGTTCATGTACCTAAAGGACCTAAATTATGGTTTGGCGGTATTCTAATGAGGAATTGTTAGAACTTGTAGCTCTGGAGGAATCTAAATTCTCTGATGACAAGTCCAAGAAGCCTATAACACTAATGGAGTCATGGAGGATGTCTATAGAGGAGTTAATGTTGATGATGGTCGTGAAAGAGAAGTTTTTGAACCACCGAGATATAGAAGATACTAGAGAGAGCCTCTACAAAGAGAAAATTGCTAAAAGTCTCCTCAACAAGAAAAGTAGTTGCTTGTAGACTATTTTCTCTATCACTAAGAGTGAGAAATGATCAATTGTGAAAAGCTTAATCTCATTGTCCTTGCTAGATTTGATAACATATCTCTAGGTTGGTGTTAGAGGTGCAAGTCTAATTTGGCTCTTGGTGTCCCTTATTAATTAGATAACCTTATCTACATAAATCTGTATAATAGTCTTCAGGGTTTGTTAGGGTCAGGAGATGCCGAGTTGTTATAACCTGTATAGTTGTTGTATTTAGTAGCATCTCCTAGCCTGGCATCCCTAGATTGGTTCTATATATTTGTAAAAGCAACGTGAGGGAATCTTTCACATAGAGAAATCAACATGGAGTCATCGCACCCCACAACAAAGGGTGGCATTCTCCAACACTCAAATGTGCCTTTGGTTTTCTTCATACCCCTTGCCTAAATACCATGATCAAGATGCACAAGTGAGCAATATATACTTAACATTTTTTCCATGTATTTGCAGGATCAAACTTGAGATTCAAGAAGAAGGAAAAGAATGCTTACACTCGGGAGTTCCATTAATACTACTGGTGATTAATCCTGACACATACCATACACGTCAAGCTTGCATTATCTATTTTATGGTTCCATCATGGGTGTTATTTATTCAATGATAACAAGTTAACAAGATTCCTAAGAGATTCCTTAGGTAAGAATACAAGAATTGCAACATATCAACAATTGCACCTTCAATAAATCAATACATTGCCTTGAGGACTAGGCACGCTGGACAAAGATTGTTAAGAGATGGCAATTGTGGTTATAAAGATAAAACATATATAAGTATCAGCCAATTAGAACAAAAAATTGTAACGCTACACCTTGATGTGATGGCTCTCATGACTTGGGTCTCAACCAACTCATATATTGGTCTCCCTCCTTAGGATTTGCTGACCTCGCTGGTGGTGAAGAGGGGAGAATTGTCATATTCATATGTCTAATAGCTATGCTAGTCTTAGTGTCCAAATAATCTCTTCTTTGTGAGTTTTCCTTCCATGGTAAAGACGTGGCAAATGTTTAGGTTTCCCAATTTCTAGCTAGGTAACGATATTTGCATACTAGCTAGGAAGATATGTCTTTGTCTAACTATGTTGGATATTTTTATTCCTTTATTTGCATCGGCGGATTTTATGCTGCCGTTGTTAATGTTGGGTCTTTTGTTAAGATGACATCAATATAGGCACAAATTGATAAAACGTAACGGTCGTTGCCGTTACAAAGATGCGACCTATATATAAGAACCGACCTATGCCAAGAACCAATGTCTTTGTTCCACTCCTTAACGCAATGGCTCTCGTGACTCAGGTCCTAGCTACCGACATTAGTCTTTGTTCTTCCTCCAGATCCGGTGACCTCCCAAGCGATCGGGAGGGACGGGAACTTGCCATATTCATCATCAATCTACAGATCATCTCCAATAATTCTACTTTAAGAGGTTCCTCTCCATGGGTATTACAACTTGGCGGATGATTAAGATTTTCAGCATGTTTCAAGGTATTCTCAGCTCTAACTAGGTATCTGACAAGGTAGCAAGTTATTCCTTTGCCCACTGAATACTTTTGTAGATTTGATTTTGTGCCATCCTTTTGGTTGAGTTAGATAAACTAGTGTTGGAGTTTTTGTATTCTTTTTTTTCCAATATAAGAAGATTGGTAATGATCACTGAAAGGTTTCCTTGTGTCTTGTTTGAAATTATAGGGTGTTGTCTCTTTTGACTTGCTAAGGTTTTAAGTCATGTTTCTAGGTTCGAAACAAATTCTCGCTTCTACCGTCTTCGTTTTGTTTATCGTCCCCTTAATGATTCAGCGGCAGGATATATAGATTGGAGATGGACATGGTTGTGTCAAGGACCTCTCTGAGCTTATACATTTATTTTGTGTTTCTTCGGGCCTCTGCGTAAAAATGTGGAAAAGAAAAAAAATGATACAACCAGTGATAAGTTCATCATAGTCAAATGGCCTAGGGATCAGTGCCATCCATTTGCGGACTTGATCTCATCATCCAATTCAAAATTGGAATGGCTTGTGAATGATGATTAAGTTCTGTATAAAATGTGGCTTGGATTGATGGCAGTGCATATAATAGCTACATGTGTTTGTAAGGCATGAAATAAATAAATACTTGTGAATGAAGAGTAGCAAATTAAAGCTACTAGCTGGTTAACGTATCAGTTGTACCTGATAATGGGCTTGGAATGGATTAATTATTACCTATATATATTTCTATGACTAAGTTCAGTCGTCGATAATTTTTTGTAAGCATTGACTACATGCCAAGAAAGTATGCAGTAGAAGGCATAGCCAAAGCCCAAAAGAAGATCTGAAACGGGGATTTTCAAGCATTACTATAGTCCCAAAATTGAAGCGAAGTAGCCAGGCAGTAAATAGCAAATTTAGCCAGTAATCATTGTCATCTAAGCTAAACAATATGGATGGGAGATGTCTATTGATATACAAGCGTGTATATTGCTATATCAGGAGGCTACCTGCAGGCCGGTGTTCTAGTTTCAGAGCTTCCCCTTGGCCTATATAAATCCCCGTCCTGCAGACTTCCCTTCCATCAACCAACCCATCCATCAGCTCTTCGATCATTAGTTCAATAGCTACTAGCTATCTATAGCTAGCTTTCTTGCTTGCTTAGTTCCTCCCTCCACCAATGGCCACTGTTACCACCGTCCGCGACGTCCTGTACCGCTACACCTTTGCCCATGCCGTATACGAGCGCTTGATCAGCGATTGCGGCTGCCACCCGCAGGTGGCACGGAACGCCATGGCGCTCCTGCTCTGTTTCGATCGGGCCACCAACCAGGTTATCTCCCGCATGCAGAGCATGAGCACCACCTGCCTAGGCCACCTGGTCACCGAGGCCAGCTGCGTCATCCGCTGCCTTAAAATGAGGAACCTCCTCGCCGGCCCGCCGACCCCGCTTCTCTCCGCGCTCTGCCAGGACAGCCGCATGGACGACCCCCTCTTCTTCCCCGTCAACCGGGACTTCATCGTGCGCGGCATCACCGACCTCCTCGACGGCGTGTGCACACTCATTTTCGACGATCGCCTCTATCACCTGCTGCGCCGCCATCAGACTGGCCTTGTCGGCCGCAACCCAGAGCTCGAAGCGCCCTACGCCGGCGTGATCGCCACCGTGCCGGAGGACTGCCGCTCCATGTTCGTTACATTCTCTGTGGGTCAGGCAGTTGAACGAGAAGAGATCTTTAGCTACTTCAGGGAGTATGTTCTGCATCAACTCGTTGACACATGCTTTGTGAATGCCATATATGTACATGTGCATGATTGCATCCTCATCGAATAATGCATGCAGGACCTGGGGTGACTGCATTGTCCGCGTTCTCATGGAGAAGACCACTGGTGGCGCACAGCCAATGTACGGCCGCGTCATCTTCAAGAGGAGAGCGTTCGTGAGCCTGCTACTCAACGGCGTCGAACATGCCTCGATCTTCATACGGGGGCGTGAGATCTGGCTCCGCGAGTACATCCCGCGCAACAGCAGGAACAACTGAACTTTGGATGGTCCATGGCCTCCATCACTGCTAGGAGCTAGGAGATCAGCGGGGAACCATATGTATCGAGTAGCTATCTAGTGTGTATCCGGTTTACTTTATTCCAAAATGTTAGCTTCAAAGTAGTAGTAGAATGTAATATATGTAGTAGTGCTTGTGGTTTAACCAAATCAAACTTAATGTAAGATGCAATAGCTGTACCTTTTGCAAACTCTAAACAATACAATGAAGTTCAACATATATGTGTCATTGTCTACAATTAATTCTGTTAAACAGCTATGCGCGGTGATGGATCTAGGATTTAATGGAAGAGGGGACTGAAGTCATCTTCAACCTCTAGAGCCCCTCCTTTCTCGCTTTCATGCCTACAAAAATTAGGAGGCCGGGGCTCAAGGAGGGGCTCCATTGCCATGGAGGTGGTAGGAGGGCTTGAGCCCCACCCGCCCCACCGCTAGATCCGCCCCTGGCTATGCACTCTTTCCATAAAATAAAGTTCTTCTAGTTTTTCCTAAGTCAAATCATCTGATATTTGACCAAATGTTTAAAAAAGTATGAATGATTAATAATGCAAAATAAGTATCATTAGCTAGATTTGGTGACATAAATGTTTACACCCTTCTCCATAAAATTGATTAAACTGAGAATACACTACAACAAATATGACGATGTATTCCTCATGACAATTGAGAAATACGTCGTTGATTTATGATGTATATACCTCATGACGATGTATATACCTCATGATTGCATTTTGACCTCTCTAAATGGGTGATTAAAGCTATAGATAAATAAAAGACACAGCTAGGTCGGTCATGAAAAGGCCAATGGTGGAAGTTGCCTGGTCTCTTGGGATCTGTTGCAGTTCGGTGGCCTCGACATTCATAACTTAGAATTTCTGGGTTGGTTACTCCGTATTTGTTGCCTATGGCTTGAAAAACTGATGCTTCTCGCCCATGGGCCAGCTTGCCTATTCATGTGCCACATAATGCTCGAGCCATCTTCAAGCTGGTTGTGGAATCTTTGGTTGGAAATGGCCCAAATACTATGTTCTGGACTGATAGATGGCTGGCTGAAAAAAAAACATAGAAGAATTAGCTCCTAACCTTCTCAAGACAGTTCCTATGAGGGCTGTTAAGCAACGGTTGCGGATGCTATTATTTACTGGTCATTGATGGGTTTCTGATATAAAGGGTGTGCTCTGCCGGTCCCTATGCTTCGTGAGTATCTTCTGATCCGGGGCCTGGTAGATAGATGACTTCCCATTACAATTTACAACCAGAGGTGGCTGACTAGCATCATTGCAATCTCTCCAAATCTGGATCTTATACTAGTAAATCGTCTTAGGCTTTCTTCCTTGGCACAATTCGGCTTGCACTGTGGAAGAGAGTATAGAAGACTTGGGCCCCCTTTGCTGCAAATTCTTCATCTGGCTTCCTATTAAGATTCACTGCTGGACAGCCGATCGTCTTGCCAAAAGAGTTCTCCCACACCCTCCTGCTTGCCCCTTTTTGTGACCAAGAGAATGAAACTCTACAGCACTTGTTAGTCACCTGCGTCTTTACCCATCAGGTTTGGTACGGTATATAATCCTACAGAAGATCAACCTGGCCTCAGTTACCCCTGCGTCTTCTCAATGGATGATACATAACTATCCTAAGTGCTCGAATTTTTTAAGAAAGTTCACAGAAAACTCACTGAAGTTAAACAAAAACATCATAGACAATTATATATGCTAAATTCAATTGTTCTGACAAAATTTCGCGCCACAAAGTTCCATTGTCATAAAATTTTAGAATGTATAAAGCACTCATGGCCCACCACTCCACCAGTTAGACAAGGGTCGCATATATTAATAAATATGTGTTCCACAACAACAAAAATACTAAATTATTTTTGAAATTTATGTTGACGTGAAAAACAATTAAACAAAGTGATGTACAATAATGAATTGTTTAGTTTTCTTCATAATCATGGTTGCACATATTATCCAAAATTCTTCATGTTCTAAATATACTTTGCAATTCTCTTATTATTTGTGGAGCTCAAGAAGTAATTAGCATAAAGGTCATTTGATCATAATTATTTTAAATGAAAACTAAACAAACACTAGTAGAAAATCGATCTTTAGCCCAGGTTGGGAAAGGGATTTAGTCCTAGTTTTCTAACCGGGACTAGGGATACGGGACCTAAGGCCCTCTGAGGTTAAAAAAATAACTGGAACAAGCCCTTGCTTAGTTTTCTTCATAATCATGGTGGCACATATTGTCTAAAATTCGTCATGTCCTAAAATATACTTAGGAATGCTCTTATTATTTGTAGAGCTCAAGAAGTAATTACAATAGCATAAAGGTCATTTGATCATAATTATTTTAAATGAAAACTAAATAAACACAAGTAGAAAATCGATCTTTAGTCACTGTTGGGAAAGGGATCTAGTCCTGTTTTCCAACCCGGACTAGGGATACGGGACCTAATTAAGGCCCTCCAAGGTTAAAAAAATAATTAGAACAAGCCTCCCTCCCTTGTGACTCAAACTAAGACCTCATGTATTGCCTCACACATAGCTTTCCACTCCACCTACACAACACATATGACTTTGGATGAGATGTTTTCCTTTTGAACTAACTCGTGGATGCCAATCGGGACTAAAGGGCCTACATTAGTCCCGGTTGATAATACACCAACCGTGACTAATGTCTCAAGGCTCTTTAGTCTGGGTTGGTAACACCAACGGGACTAATGTAGACCCTTTAGTCCCGGTTGGTGTTACGAACCAGACTAAATGTCCTCCGACGCCCATGAAACTTGGACCTGACCAGACTAATGCTCACATTAGTCCCAGCCCAACTAGCAGAGACTAATGTGTTGAACCGAAAGTCTTTTCTCTACTAGTGAAAATCCCTTAGCATTGTTTTGATTTCAACCTGTTTCCTTCCCTCCTCTCTCCTACCTCATTTCATCCATGAAGGCATGAAGGATATATGAGAAGGTGCATGGGCTGAAACGAGGGATGACGGAGGATGGAAATGAATGGCCTAAAATCGATCAAGGCTAATGTAACGGCTTTATTTGGTTTTCCATTTGAAACATTTGCTACAATGATCCCTGTATTAATAAAATTATTTCCAGAGCTCTAGAAATTTAAACAAAATGATGTCGAGTATATGGATAAATTTTATGATCATATGAAGTTCCGAAGGAATGCTCAAATTTTCTCCAAAGATTTTCAAATTTGGTTGGATACTAAACCACATCCTTATCCTTGAGTTCGGACAATTGAGAGATGCTACTTTTCCTATCTAAGGTATATGGTTGATTCAAAAGAATGATTAGAACTCCCATGCATTTGGCATGCATATCTCCATGGCTGTAGAAATATTTGAAGGTGGACCCACGGAGAATTTATACCACAAAATGTTGTCTCCCATGAAATATTCGTGTGATCCAATGGAAACAGCTCCCTAAATACAAATTGTAGACCATTCAACGAAAACCGTAGTTGAAATCCAGGCCTCCATGGTGTTTCTAATAAAGCCTGAGGAAATTTCATTTAAAATAAAATTTTCATCCACCTTTCATATGCAATGGACAATGCAATCATCCACTTCTAGCCATAATGGCCATCTAGAAATAGTCGGTTGATGATTAGTAATGATGGTAATATGTTGGTTAGAATTATAGCACAGTAAACTGGCTTCGTATGTTTGTAAAGGTTCAAAACAAGTGGGGCCGTTATACAACGAACACTTGCTGTTAAAGAGTTCAAACAATGTATGGTGAACCACTTTCATCTTAGAGCTTGCAAACTTTTCATGTTCTTTAAAACCATAAATTTTTCAACTAGGGTGAATTTTTTTTTTCATTCCTTTCAGTTGAAGAAGTCAAAACAAAAGGAAAACTATCAGGAGAAAATCTATCAAGTCGACCAAAAAACTTTGAAATACATAAAATGGGTCCCAACAAACAGCGAGACAATAAGAATGAACATTGACACAATCTCACCAGCCTGATGGTGGATCTTATGTGGTACTAGGGGTGGGGATCGGGTACTAGATATTTGTTTATGCCCATCAGCTTCGGTGGAGTGAACTTTGATGATGGCAATTGAGAAAAGGAAAATTAAAGAGATATGTTTGAAAACAAATGGATGTTGGTGATTTTTCCATTTTTAGTGACAGGATGAGCTATTTCTTTGCTTGGTTGCAACACATGTACCTTATATTGGAAACATGAATTGAGTTTCATGGATTGATGCATTGCACAATCGTATATTTCTTTGAAGTCAAGCCACATCCTGCATGGAGTAAGCCCTCCACAATGCTCATGATGTATGTATGGAATGTAAACATACGTTTAGATACTTACATAAGGATCATTGATGTATTTTGTAGCAGTAAATTCTTGCCAAAATATCATTGTATGACTAGGCTAGTTATTGCTGAAGTAAACAAAAAATTGACTTCTCGCTAATCTATCACACAATCCTCATGATGCATGCATAGAATGGTTTTATTGTGATTGATGCATTTGTGAAGAATATCCTTAGCTATATATACATTATCTTGGTAGCGAATTAATGCTTGCTATAATACCATGGTATGACTTGGTGATTTTTTTGGCACTATAAGTTACTGTAGGCTCATCCTTAGATCTATATATATAAACATCACCCGTATGCTCATTCATCTCAACACTAAAACAATCTCGATTTCCTTTCATTTATATAATTGTAGTAGTTACCGAGCGAGGGGTATAGCTAGGGCACGATGGCACGCAAGAAGGTGAATCTCCAGTGGATCTCAAACAAGTCATCTCGGCGTGCAACATACAAAAGACGCTACGAGGTCCTGGTAGAAAAGGCCAGCGAGGTCACCACACTTTGTGGCTCCAAGACATGCATGGTGGTGTATGGTGAGGGTGAGGCACTGCCGATGGTGTGACCCACTGATGAAGGGCAAGCAGCTCCTCGAGAAATTTAATGGCATGCCAGATGTTGGCAA